TCAAAAATGCCCCATGTTTTTAGGAAATTTATGACGGCTAATGAAAAGATAAAAGGTCTTTTTGAATGACTCCGAGCTATTTGGTGTGCTTAGAATCGCGTATCAATTATTTGTTTTTGGTTGATACATACTATCATTTTCGGTTTCTTATTAACTGCCACTTTTGAATTGTAATTGTTTTGTGCGTTGATGTTTTGTTTTAACGTAACCTATATGTTGTCTAATAAATTTTATCAGACATCTTCGTCCACGACCTAAGTGATATGGAAGTGTACTTAATTATTTTTGAAATTCAACATATATTTTCTGTCAAAACATGTATTTTTTGAGGCTCTATAGGTGTTTTGGCATTTTTTGGTTGTATTGGGCTAAAATAAATCTCGATTAAAAAGGGATGGTTGTAGAACCTGTCAAATGTTTAATTTTAGACAAAAAATTGTGGTCCTAAAATTTGAAAATTTATCTTTGTAACTTGGTGATTGTAGTTTAGTTATGAATTTGAAATGTGAGACAGTTGCGATGTGTGTGTGTTTTTTTAAATTTTTTTGTGTTCTAAAAAACTTTTTTTGTTTTTTGAATTTACAAATCAGTGCGTTCTAGATTTTACTGTCAGCAGAAAGAAAGAAATAGTTGTTTTATAAAGGCATTTTTGCTAATAGTTGATGTACTGGTGAACAGACCAATTTAGATGCATTTTGTTTTAATTCGTAAATTTCTGGCCAGGCGCTCAGTAAGGTCTGGTTTTCGTGCTTGTTTGTTGTTTGCGATGTCACATATTAGGAAGTATTCAGTTTGCGTTGGCCGTGAAAGAGGTTATAAACGCACCAAAAACGTTAAGCGCGTCAGGCCTTCAAACAGCAAAGGCGTAAGCTAGACTTGTCTATTAACTTCTTTTGTAGCAATCTGGGAAACAATCGCGTCTCTCCCGAAGTCTTATTCGGGAAATTGTGGGCTTCGCTCCTTTTGAACGGCGAGCTTTAGAATTGCTGAAAAACGATCGGGAAAAGCGGGCTCTGAAGTTCTTGAAGGCTCGTGTTGGGGGCCACCGGCGCGCGAAGAGAAAGAGGGAAGAACTCATGGGCGTGGTAAAGAGCATGCGCCATAAGTAGACCTTCTGTAAATAAATCCTTCATGTCGGCTTTTTGTTCTTATTTTGTGTATAGTGTAGCTTAACGAGGCCAGAAATATTCCGACTTGCTTTTAAAGTATAGGTTTTACCATGATAGTATATTTTACTTAATGGTGTTTACGCGGAACTGGATTGCCTGTCCGTACTTCATACTCCTTAATGGGGTTCACTACGGTTACTGCTACCGGACCCTTCTCTCGATTTACCCCTACCGTCGTCTGGCCTCATTCAGTTGGCTTACATTTGTCCGTGGACCTGTTGTCCTTATCCGTTGTTTTGTCGGCCAAATCTTCATCTTCTGTGGATGTTTTCTCACACGATGTCCCCGTCGTTTTTTTCGATCATCGTCACAGGGCTCATTCTGATTCATCGAAAATAGGTAGCTTTTGTGTTTAGCTCTTGGAGGTCTGCGGATAGCTACCCGGGCTCACTAATTTAGCTTCGCTTGTGGTCGCATGAAAAGTTTCACACCTCTGGATATGTTCTGAAGTCGCTCCCCGCACAAGCCCTGTGAATCGCAGTAAGATGGGTCTAGCCTTCTTAGTTCATGGGGATTACCGTCTGTTTGACTATTCTGAGAGTAACCTTGATGTCTCGGAACAGTGCTTCGGTAGCGTTTTTACGTTAGCGTGTTGAGCCTGCTGCATACATACCGTAATATTTTCTAGTTGTGCTAATCAATTCCCACAGGTTTCATTTATGCTAGTACGAATTCTCTATTGAGAAATTCATGCGATTTAATTACCTACTTGTTTTCAGTTCTGCCAGACAAAATAAGTAGGGGAAACTTCAGGTTTTAGTCGCCCTATCTGATTTCGCTTGTATTTGCGTTGTTGGGAGGTGCTGGGTCAAAAGAGTCATGCTGTGGTTAGCAAACTTTTCATGCGCTCTCTGTCCCAATCGCGCTCATCAGCGGCCATGGAGGATGCATGGCCTCGGTGGACTCGTAAAAGATCCCACTGAAATAGTATATCAAAACCCATATAATTATAGACATAAGTATCCAAAATGGTAGTAAAATATCAACTTTAATTGTCTCGAAAATTGGGTTAAAACTAATTTGCTTTCAAGTTCGGCAAAATAATCCGAATAAAAAAGCATGGTTGTCGGCATAAAATAACCTCGTTATCAGCTGTCAAAGCCTGAAATGCTAGAATCACGAGAGATAAGTTCAGGATTTCAGAATATTTTTTTCCAACCTTACTCACAAAAAGATGCTTATTTTTATAAAAAACGCAGGGGACTCCTTAAGTAGTGGGATTTCACAGTCGCAATATTAACAGACATTACATTTTATGGACTTTCTTAAGGCCTAAATATATTCATAATCAGCACTGACTCTATGTAAGACGATTATTAATTCCAAGAAAACATTTTAGTGTTGCTGTCTCAAAATGACGGGAAAAATAAAAAGACAGTGAAACTCACGTATATAAGGCTGCTACATAATAGTAGGTCTGCAAAAATTCGAGACCTTAGACAACTTATGTGTCGATGCCGTGAAAAGCAAGTCAAAGCGTGAGCAGAATGCCAGCACTTATTATATGTGCAAGCCATAACAGGCCAAAAATATTGAAATTTACAAAGTTTTTAAACCAATTGACACCAACCAAGATTGCACTTGGGTTAAAAGTGGAGGAGACAGTGCATTTTAAGGACTTCGACTGAAGAAACTGAAAATAAAATAAGGCGACAAAAGTGTCAAATAACTGATGTTTAAGATTTCGCGTCATCCGCCAGTGAAAAGACGAAAACCTCTGCTTGTACCCGCACCATCAAATGCTGGTTTATATTTCAAAGTGAGTGGGAAATGAACATACAGAATATAACTATAGCCAAACGAAATTCGGTTAGACTCATTTTGAGAGCTCTGCTGACAAGTTTTCCATACTTTCTGGCGAAATGCCCATATTAAGGATGGTAGCCACCAAACAAAAGTAATGCCGATTTAGTTGTGTAAATCCAGGTAAGAAAAGAAACTGATGTCTTTAATTTTCTCAGAAATGCAAAAAATGCCGACTACGTGTAAAATCCAGAAAAAAAATAGAATAAACTAATTAAGGGGAGGAAGCAGTATTAGGGGTCAGGACATTTGCTGGCGAATAGGAGATTAGCCTAAAAACATGAAACAAATTCCCTAGAATTTAAATTTCTAGGCCCAAGTCCAAATGCTCACCACAATAGTTGAGAAAAAAACATTAACACTATCGGTAACATTGTCAAGCCCATTGATTCTAAGCGTAAACCGGTCGATAATAAATGTCTGTCGAATTTCTGTGATGACAAACAACATAAAAAAAAACGAAAGAAGGCTGGTAAATTTCCAAAGGGGAAGCATAAAATATGATAGATTATTTTTACGATGATCTGAAGTTAAGCCAGCGAAAATCGAAATTAATATTGTGCCTATGTTATATCACCACAAAAAGGGAAATTCACTAAAAAGGATGCTCGGATGACAACTGCTCATGCATTTCGATCCAACAAGCCAAGTTACTAACGAAGAAGGCACACAGTAAGACAATAAAAACAATGACTAGAGGCAATAACCTCAAAAAGAGACATTACAACCACAAACTTTAAAGGTGGCAAAATGGTGCGGTACAAAGCGCCAAAAGATCTCCCTGTCAATACTAAGGTCGCTCATCATGACTGATTTGGAGCAATGGCGAAACCACAATGCAAGAATTTCACTGACTATTTTATAATCACATGCGCTTCACGCCGATGCATGTCTACGAATAAAAACTACACCTTGGGTCGAAGCGGTTTGTGTCCTACAGCTCGCAGGTGGCTCCTAAGGTTTACCAATTGGGCCACTCAAGTGAAACGCGCGCACCAAATTACTTCATTGGAAAGTGTGTACCGTATTTGCAGAGGTTTGCAGACGTACCTCTTACCCCGACCTTGCATAGGCCACCTCAGCAAGGCCATTAAAGTCACCCAGATTTTTTCCAAAAATTACATTCTTATAATCGTTCCTTAATAATTCGCATGTATCCATAATTCTTTGTGCAGTTTTCCGTAGAAGTTTGTAGGTTAAAATTGTAAGTACAGTAGGCTTTTGCCTAATGTCGGACTTTGCCAAACCACTTATTTCCGTCACTAAATTTTCTCAACTTCTACCTTTATGTCACAAATTAAGTCCGTTCTGGAAATGCACTTTAGGTACCTTGGGTTCAAAGGATGTGTAACTCAAATGCATGTGGGATTTTGTCAGCTTTTGGTGAAAGGCAATGCACATATGTGACCTTGACTAGATCACGTACGC